ATAATAATAATAATAATAAGCCCATTTATTTCCAACAACCTTAAATAACATTTTCTCTTAATATATAAATAACTATAACTATTATGTCATTGGAACCCCATGCTGGGTAAAGGCCTCCTCCAGCTTACTCCACAATTTTCTATTTCTTGCTTTTATTCTCCAATTTTTTCCAGCTACTTGAATTATCTCATCAATCCACCTGTTCCTTGGATGGCCTCTATTTCTTTTCCCCGCAGGTCCTTTCCATGTTGTGGTTTCTAATGTCCATCTCTTGTCTGTGTATCTCGATATATGTCCAGCCCATCGCCATTTTTGTGTACGAGCATAATGAAGTACGTCTATTATGTTAGTTTTTTCTCTAATATTCTTGCTTCTTATCTTTTGATTTTTTCTTATTTTTAATATACTTCTTTCCATCGCTTTCTGACAGTTTGTTAGTTTTGTTTTTATTTTTGTGTTATACGTCCATGTTTGGCAGCCATAAGTGAGAGTTGGAAGAATACAAGTATCCATTACAGTCTTCTTCAGGTGAAGGGGGAAATTCCCTTTTAGAATTTCCTTTAGGCTCCAGTATCTTTTCCAGCCAATGTTCACTCGCCGTTCTATTTCTTCTTCTTCATTCTTGTTACTGAATGATACTTGTTTGCCAAGGTATATGTAGTTATTTACACATTCCAGTGCTTTGCCATATAGTTTGATGTTGGTGGTTTTGCTGTTTGTCATTACTTTTGTCTTATCTTGGTTCATTATGAGCCCAACTTTTTCGCTTTCTTCTCTCAGTGTGCTTATCATTTCGTCTAGTTTGTCATTGGTTTCGGCAAAAATCACAATGTCGTCAGCGAATCTTAAATGAGTTAGCCTCCTCCCATTTACTTTTATTCCGTGTGATGGCCAATGCAAGTTCTTGAAAATAATCTGTAGTACCGCTATAAAAAGCTTTGGTGAAACAGGATCTCCTTGTCTTACTCCCCGAAAAATTGGTATATTTGTTCCTCTTTTTTCCAGTTTTACCCTGCTGGTGCTTCCTTTGTAGATGTTTTTTAATACCTTTATGTATTTTTCTTGGATTTTACAGTGATCCAGGGCTTCCCATATAGAGTTGTGAGAGATCGTATCAAAAGCCTTTGCATAGTCGATGAAAGCTATATATAGCGGTTTGTTGAACTCTTTGTGTTTTTCTATCACTTGTTGAATAGCGTGAATGTGATCTGTTGTAGAAAAGCCCGAACGAAAGCCAGCTTGTTCTAACGGCTGGTATTCATCGATTTTTGGAGACAATCTGCTTTGTAGAATTGACATAAATAATTTGTACACGCTTGAAAGAAGACTTATAGGTCTGTAATTTCCTACGTCTTTCGGGTCCCCTTTTTTGTACAGTAAGACTATATCAGATCTCTTCCATTGATCTGGGACCTGCCCAGTGTCAAGAACTTTATTGAATAGGTGGGTGAGAGGACGTGCTAAAAGCAGGGAACCTGCTTTCAAAGCATTGTTGAGTATAGAGTCTGGTCCTGGGCTTTTATCTTTTTTCAATTTTTTAATATGGTGGATAGTTTCCAAGGCGTCTATTGGTGGTACATCTATATCTTGATTGGTTATTTCGGTATGTAAAGTGTTACTTATGTCAGTTGTAAAAGATACGCCAGTTTTCTCTGTATACAATGCCTTGTAAAATTCTGTTGCACTATTTATCACGTCGTCTCTTGTTTTTGTCTCGTTATTTCTAGTATTTAAGTTTTGTATCCAATTTTTGTGCGTTGTCAGCTGTTTGTAGGCTTTTTTCGAGCTTCTATATTTCAAAAGGTTATTTTCTATTATCTTATTTCTATAATTCTGATAATCTCTTCTGATGGCTTTGCTTGTTGTCTTAAAAAGAGTACTTAATTCTTTTTTTGTTTCTTTAGTTTTTTGTTTCATTTTTATTAACTCCGTTCGTTTTATCAGCATGTTCCTGGTACTTTTACTTACAATTTTTCCAACTCTGTCTATTTTCGAATCTAGCGTTTTTAGTGACATGCTCTTATTAATGGCGTTTTCTAATTTATTGTATAGCATCTGAACGTCCTGGTCGTCGTCTTGGAGTTTCAATTCTTGTATATTTTCTTCTAGACTTTTCAAGTAACAGTTAATATCTTCTGTTGTTTTTAAGGACTTGGGCTGTGATTTAAAAGTTTTCCTAGTTTTCTTTTGTTTTCCCAGAAGGTAAGTAGCTCTTACTAGGCGGTGATCTGAATTGAATCCTAAGCCGTGGAGAACTTCTATGTTTCTTATTTTTTTGGGTTGGTTTGCTAAAATATAATCTACTTCGTTTTTTGTTTTTCCATCTGGGGATAGCCAAGTCCATTTACGGCTTTTTCTCATTTTGAAAAAGGTATTCATAATCGACAGTTTGTTCTCTAAGGCAAATTGTACTAGCTTTTCACCTCTCGCACTTCGAGTTCCGTAACCAAATTTTCCTATGACTAAATTGTCGTTCATATTTGTTTGTCCTACCTGAGCGTTAAAATCTCCAATCAGAAGGACATGTTCTCCAACCAGGTAAAAAGCTTTTTCCAGGGTTTTGTAGAATGAGACAATTGCTTCTTCTGATGACCTTTCTGTGGGAGCGTACGCCTGTATTATTGACAGACTTTCATGTTCATATTTCATTTGTAGTACAGCAACCCGTTCTGAAAGGCCCGTGAAGTTTATTATGTTTCTCTTATATTTTTTCTTGATAAGAAAACCTACTCCATGCAACCCCGGCGTTTCTCCTTTATAGCATAGGATAAAATTCTCATGTTCTTCAATATTGCATCCCATCTTCCGGACTTCTGCTATCCCGAGTATATCTATTTCTATGTTTTGTAGTGAGTACATTAATTCTATGTATCTTATCTCTGAACCTAATGATCTGACGTTAAATGTGCCAATCTTTAGTATTTTATTTTCATTTTTTGTTTTTGTGTTAGCTAGAGGGTTATGGTCTCTTTCCCCCACGGGGACCAACCGGCTTGGGGGAGTTTTTGTTTGATTTATTGGTTGTGAGTTTGTACAGTTATCGTTGTCGTATTTCCGGTTGTTGGCAAGTTTTAATTGCTAGTTATTACTCTTAACTTTAAGTGAGTTGCTTCTAGGACGGGTCATAAACTCGAAAGCGTTCTTTGCAGCAATTTTCTTTGGGCCTGCTAAGGAGGGTTGTTGGCTCTGATTAGGTGAGAGGGATGATTCCCTCTTCCTTTTCTCTTTCTTTTGTATATCCGATGGTTTCTTAATTATAAGCTTTTCTCCTTTCAGGTAGGCAATGTTGCCTTTGATCCTTTCTTCATCGAGTTTTGACTGCAGAGACCTCCTTATTTCTAACGTTTCTTTCGTGAAATCCTCTTTTATGTATACCCCTTCAGGAAGTTTCTTTTTATTTTTAAGGATTATGTTACGTCTCCAGTTAGAGGTGAAGGAAATAAGTACAGGCCGAAATCCGTTGCTTATTTTTTGTCCGATCCTGTGCGCTTTATCGATTTCATGTTCCTGGATATCTAGTGACAAGTAGGTATTAATTTTTTCTTTCATCATTTTTACTACATTTGTTTCTTCTGCGCTGCCTTCTTTTATTCCAAAAAATAATAGATTGTTCTTTTTCTTCTGTGCCTCCAATCTTTTGATTTTATCTTTTAGGTCTGATACTTCTACTTGAAGATGTTGGTTTTGTTCCTCCAGCATTCTTAACTTTTCGCCCATTAGTTCTGTAATATTTCGAGTAACAGCCTCTGTAATTGTTAATGTTTGCTTATCCATTTGTTCTTTAATTTTTTCCAGTAAATATTGCATCTGGTTCTCCATGTCTTACTTTTGTGGTAATTAAAAGTTGGCGCGCAATGTATAAGGTGAAATTTAATTTAAGGTGAAACTTTTTAATATGGCAACACTCTATCGGTCAATGTTTGTAATGTTGGCTGTATTGACATTTGACACTTGACAATGTTGTCTCTGGTTTAAATCAACTTTAAGAGGTTATGTTTGAGGTATTTTCACTGAAATATTTTAGCCACTTTGAAGATAGTTCGTGCGTGGCTTTTTTATACAGTGCACTTTCCACGACTAAATGTTTACTTTTCACTGCCGTATACACTGTTTGAACTTGTCGAAACACTTTTTAAGGATATTTTGTAATGAGTGATAATCGGAACGTCTGTTGTTTACTATGCCGGAACCGGAAATCCGGCCCGGATACAGCCACATATCAGTCTACAAATAACCAGTATAAACTGACATTTGAATGTGCAGGAAGACCATACAAACCGAGATCATAATACACTGGTTTGTTGCCGTAAGCACCAAGTACTAGTTCATACACGTACACAGTTCTTTTACGTCACACTGATATCATATCGCTATCGATGACACCGTCGATACGACTACCAGTATCTTCTCTTCCACCAAAGCAGTATCTGCTACTGTAATTTACACGCTGACTTCAAAACATAAGGCACAATTTACATTGCATCTTCCAACTTGACTTAAGACCTTTCATTCGAAATTAATTCATAACATTTTTGCTAAGAGATATTTAGACGATAGTGAGTGTGAACTGAACAGTGAGTTGTTTTTGTCGTGTATTCAAGTTTTAAAAACAATGGGAGTTGTGTGTCAGATATTAATCACCAGGACTGAAGATGGTGTCTTCAAACCAGGAGATCCAGTGACAGGAACAATAAAATATTTCATAGACGAACCAACGAAGTACGAAGGAATATCCATGAACTTTCTTGGCAAAGGAAATTGTTGGTGGACAAAGACAGAGGAAGGTGCAACGCCCTTTGGGAATAGTGAAACTTATATGAATCAATCAATTTGTTTCTACACAGGAAAGAGTGGAGAAGAACTGGCAGGAGGATATGAGTACCCATTTCAATTCTTACTACCAGTTAACATACCATCCTCGTACAAAGATGGAAACTGCGTGATAGACTATAAAATTATTGTAACGTTTGTAAAGGCAACGAAACGAGAACAATTTGAGGCAGAGATACCAGTCCAAGCCTATGTGACCACAACAGTACAGGAGCCCATGTTATTTGGTTTACAGAAAAAACTGTTTTCTGTCTTTGCTGGCAATAAGATTGCCCTAAGAGGAGAATTAGAAAATGTAGCAGTAACGCCTGGTGCAAATATCAATTTAACCCTTAAAGTACACAACGAATCAAATAGTGAAATATTTATAAGAACTGAATTAATTAAACATTTTACATTAATGTCGAATCATGGGGAAACTAATACTAACGTTGTTTTAGTACCAAATACAACCACAGGGAGTAATATAGAGAAAAATACGGAACAGAGTGTAAAATGTGTTGTGCCTACGTATTCAAATTTGTTTTCTATACAAAATAGTAATATTATTAAAGGAGAATATAAAGTGAGAGTGATAATTGAAATGCCTTTTCCTTATAAAGATGCAACAGTGGATGTACCCGTGGTTATTGGAAAAGTAATGAGTGAAGTAGCTGCACCAGATGCAATGAACAATGAACATTGTGATGAAGCGAAATAGAATAGAATTTTATTTATTGTGAGTTGGGCAGTTGGAAACTTATCCACTGATATTGTTGTTTGAATGTTAAAGACGCAGTAGATAATTACGATATGCAAATAAAGGAAAGAAATGATGAATATAATAAAAGTCTGATGTAAAAAATGTATAGTATATTATTTTATTTTTTACCTGTGAACTTATTGAATACAAAATTTTGAACTTAGTAAGGTAACATAAGGATACAATGATGAATTAACATTAGGATACAATATGAAGGATTACATACACACAACTACAAATCGATATACGAAATCAGTTTGTCTAGTTTCCTATATCTCTGTTTCTTCATTTATGAAGTAAGTGATTTTTTTAGGTAGCAACGGTCGATGTATGCGACTTTGCCTCCATCAAAATAATCTTGCCGCTGTATAACCATTGTTGGTGTTTTTTCTATCTTTTTATTACAAATTCACGTTTTATAATTCGTTTCATTAAGTTCACTTTGGTTTAAATTTCATTAATAATTTTTTTATTAAGAAGTTTTATTTAGGTACCTCTTGGTTTGACTATAACATGTATATTTTCCTGTACCACAATACTCATGGAGGAAAATATTCTAAAACAATTATAATAAATTTTGAAACTAAATTATAATTATTATTTTACTGGCTATCATGTTTTCAATAATGTACCAACGAGAAGCGAACGGATTTGGACAAAATTAAACTCATAGAATACAGATAAAATAAAATAATGTTTAGAATAAAAACAAAAAATAAAAACATAATGTTAAGTTTCAGACTATGCAGAAGTACAAATAAATATAAGTAAGTGTGTATGTACGATAGAATACATTTTAGTATTAACTAGTTTTTTAATTCCTCATACAATATTGTTTCCTATAGAAGTATTCGCGGTTGCTTCTTCCGAAGGAGTATCGACTACAAGAAAGTGGTCTGCAATCTGGACAGGTACGTCGAGGACGACATTTTTATGAGGTATAGAAAGTGGGACAATTATTCTGACCCAATACTTTCTTTCTGCCAATTCAGCATTTTCCAAAGACACACAAGTTGTAGGTAGAACTATGTTCAGTGTCACTTTTAAGGTGTCTCTTCTTCGCATCGATTCCGTTTTGCTACTGCAGTTCGGGACATTTTCACAAAAATCCCATGCAGTATATCTAGTCCATTCTTTCAGTTCAACTCTGGCACCATCAATAGTGATATTAGTATTATTTTCTACTTCCAATTGTATTTTAATATTTCCTCCAGATTTGATGACTGAGTTTAGAATATTAGCTCTTATTTTCACGAAATTGTTTTCATTAGAAAATAATGAGCATAGTTTACTGTACTGTCCATGCATGACAGGGTTCATTGGTAACTTAGGAGTAATGCTTGCCAAAACGATAATATTTTTCTCAAAGGTCTTGACTGTATTGAACCAACCAGATGTTTTAAACATGGCAACAACATGGTATCTAATATTAAATTTATAAGTAGTGCAACACGATTCTCGAGAAGCCGAAAAGGATGGTGGTATGTCCTCGGGTAATTTGAAACTAATGTTTCTTTCATAATTTCCTACTGGTATTCTATAGTCTCCCTCCTGAATTATTTTACTTACATTTACGTAGGTTTTGTTGGATCTGTCCGTATCAAACATATTATTTCTTCTATAAGAATTTTCTCTTCGTTTCAATTCTCCTCTACCGTTTAGCGAGACAGTGATCATCTTGATGGGTAATGGTTCAGTAACTCTGTACTTTATAGTGCCATACACAACCTCTCCAGGGCAGAATATGGCTTTGTGCTTTACTAAATAAATAGAACAATGGATTTTGGGACTCATTGTATATTTTTAATATTGCACTTAAATTCACGATCACTACAAATTGCGAACAAAACAGTTTGATAAATATTTTCACGTCACTTATTTACAGTTTTTCAATTATTATATTAAACGTGTACATCTGCTGCTGGTATCTGTTATATATATGATGGTAAAATATGTTTTTCATACATATAATTGGGTGGAATTAGAGTTAGTTGCCTCTGAATTTGATAATAAAATTTCCGCTTTCCTGTTTCCTATTACCTACTAATAGATTTGGATGATGAAAATCAATAACAAAAATAATTAGTTGTTATTATTTAGAGTATATATTTTTACAAGTTTGTCTCGTTGGCCGAGTGGTCATAAGTGCGACAGCCGGGCAAAGGGTCTCGGTTCGATTCCTGGGTCGGGCTAAGTATTACTAGGTTTTTAAAAATCTCAGTAGTAGCACGGAGTCTGGAAATGTGCTCGGTATATGGCAATAGGCTCTATTACATGAGACTCAAAAAATAAATAGTGAAAAGTGGGTGTTACATTGTATAGTGGCATTAAGTGCCGTAATGTTCACCTCTGCCTACCCCTTCGGGAATAAAAGGCGTGATGTTATGCTATGTTATGTTTTTTACAAGTTTTTGTTTAACATGCAATTTATGTAGGTATATACGTATGTATGTATCTGTGAAGTGGAACCTTACAACTGTATTTCGCAGCAGATATCTTCAACCAGTTAAGCTGCAATTTTAGCAGTTAGCTGAATAAAAATTGTTTTTAAAAGGTTTTTAATTATTTTTTTATTCCCAGCATTATCCTTACAGACTAACCCAAATCGATATTGAGGTTTCTTATATTTAAATTACAAAATAAAATTTTAACTAATTAACCATAACAAATGCTAAGAAGTGCTACTTTAGTGAAATCACTCAGAGTGCAATAAAACATATCAACGTCTTTAATTTAGTTACTGTACTGATATTCAATTTTCAGTGCTATTTCAAGGTGACGACAGTGACGAAGTAAATGATAAAAAATCATAAATACATTGAAAATGTTGAAATGATGATAATGTTGATAAGAGACCAGATAAACTATTTCCGATGAATGGCATATTTATATCGATAGGTATTTATTTATTTATTTATTATAACACCTTACAATATGACATCTTACAGTTTATTATAATGTAATATCATATTTCCTGACATATTGAAGTCCAACATGTAATTTAATTAATAAAACTTTAACCTTAATTAATACACTTAATAAGAGTTACATACTCTAAGTATGACATATATATTATAACAATTTTTTTTCTTTTTTTTTTTTTTTTTT